TTAAACACTTTAGGGATTGTTGCAGCAGTAAACATTTGCACTTCTGTTTTAGAAAGTACATTGCCAGTCTGAATCCTGACTGTCCTGGCAGTGATGTGCTTAGACAGTTTGGGCTGCTGTAGCAACGTCCCCTGCCCCTGGCAGTGAGGATGCCCTAGCCCTGGTAAAAAGGGGGCACTGGGAAGTGACTTGCCCAGTTCTAAAGGGCCCAGCCTGCCTGTGGACCTCCTACTGATGGTGTGGAGCATGGCCTGTCTCCGTACAGCAAGGTTTTCCTTGGACCTCAGCTTACAGGAGGAAGAGCTATTCTGGCTTCTGTTTTAGAAGTTCCAGTCCTTGTATGCTGGGTGGCCTGGTGAAGGGCTGAGCAGAGGAGCGCTGCTCACCTCATGGTGGACAGGAAGCAGAAAGGGTGAAGGAAGGAGCCAGGAGGGAGGCCCTCATGGCCCAGGCAGCTCCCAGAAGCCTCACCTGTGCCCATATGAGGCTCTCAGGGTTTCCCAGTATAAAACCTAAATCCACGACCAGAGATGCTTCTATTAGTGTCGACAGAGAAAGTAAAGACATTCATCTTGTTTTGTCTAAATCCTTCCCCAGTTCCTTAACAAGAAGCCAAGAAGTAGTTAGGTAAGGAATCAGAGCAGGGACTCACCTAGGAGGAATAAAGGAAGGATGTTATAGGAGGAGAAAAGTGCACATAGGTTGGAGGATTAATTTTTGCAGAGTTCATTTTGCATTGACTATATAAAATAGAGTATCCAAATTCTGATAGCAAGACACCATTGAATAAATAAATTGTATGGCTTACTTTTCCTACTAACTGATGACTATTTATTCTAAAAATAACCTGCACCTGGCATATGCAGTTTATCATGATTGTGTGAAACAACACATACCCATGTTATACTTGGTATACAGCTTTTTGGCAAGTCTTTCCTTCCAGGTCCTATTAGCAAAATGACCAAAGCAGAGGTATATGAATGTATTTAAATTCACCATAACTCACCATTTCCTTTTTACTACTGACTCTACCACATACTATCTTGCTTAATTTGTGTTCCATGAAAGCCTATAACTCACTTCTGCAGCCCAGGGAGTTATGACATGGGAATTGTGGCATGCATCCTGGAACGGAAATGCTCACTCAGACACCTGCAGTTCCACCTGTCTCGGGACACTGGTGTCCACTGCCTGTGTGGGGCCAGCAAGAGCGACATTGTCCATCTGTGAGAGGCACGTCTTCCAAGCCCGCCCACCTGTATTTGCATGCTTCTGTAATTACAGCCATATGTGCTATTCAATGTAAGTGGCAATACTTAGTGCCACACCGGGTTTCAGAGTGAGAAAAGTTACTGTGGAGGGACAGTTGGGTCGGTACCTGGCCCTGTTAGAGTCGATAAGCAGCCCTCTAGTCTGAATGTTGGTAAGTGTCCTGAAAATGTGCTTTAGGAACTGACAGTGTTTGTGCAATGTCCCGTCTACCTGTGAGGACATCTGATAACATTCACTTGCCTTGCAAACTTGAATGAATGAGGAATGAAGAAACAGGAACTGGGACGGAGAGAGGTACAGGCAAATCATGCAGAAAATTAGCACTCGGAAGTTTTTGTATTCTCAGAAGTGGAAAGTGTCAGAATGGGCTCAAACTCAGAGCAATGTTATGTGAGGGGCCAAGAGACAGGTCTCCAAGCCTGGGGTATACCTTCTACATATTCTTAGAAATATTTCATTTTAAAATGTCTCAAGGCTTACAAAGTCTTCCTCATAGGTGGTATGGAAGTGTTGGGGCAATGGATAACGTAATAGGAAGCTGCTAAGTATGACTTTCTCAGACCAACTTTACAACACCAAGATCCAGAGAAAGGGCCAAGAAGCCCTGAGTGTAACCCACCCAAGGCTGCATTTAAATGACCACAAAGTCTATGCCCAGCGTCACTCTTCCTCAGAGCACTGTGATTCTGGCTTGAGGTACAAAAAGTGAACACATTTGTGCATCTTCCTTAAGAAATCTTCATCTGGAGACAGTAAGTTCTATGACAATTTTGAACTAATCCAGATGCGCACCTGAGATATAAGACATGGAGTCTAGAATTGCCTCTGCCTTTCATGGTGGCCCAGAGGTCCTGGGACAGTGGCTTCTTCGATGCCACTGAAGAAGGCAGGGCTCAAAGGCCGAGGTTCCCACAGGCAGGAGCTGAGGAGGTGACCCTGTGCTCATAATCCACTGGGGACACTGATCAGAGAGCCAGGGTGCAGGCGGCCAGGATGGGATGGGGCAGAGCCTGCCCAGAGTGAGGGGAGAGGACCCCAGGGCTAAATGTCACCATGAGCTTCAAGTGGCACACACGTCACCCATCAGAGTCACTTCTCACGGGCCTCTCTGCTGTCCCTTACTCAGAGAGCATTGCGACTTTGTTAAATAATGCGTGTCTCTCCCTACATATATTTGTAGAAGGCATCTTTCTGGCTAACGGGAGGTGCTTTGCACAGGACCGAAGCTCCTTGTCCTCTGTGAGCTGGTATTAGCAGCGCAGTGTAGAGACTCCGACGGTCACCTATAGATATAACCGTGGCAGCGGGAAAATGAAAACAAACTCCCATCAGGGGCAAGGGGTAATCTGCAGTATTTACACTGATTTCGGCAGGGATCAAGCACTACCCCGTCTCTAGCCAGATCGCCAGGATAATGCATTCATACAAACACTACAACTGGAAAGACTGGTTTTTATAATAGATTATGGTTCTGTGGAAATCAGTGTGGAGACACCTCAAAGATCTAGGGCTGGAAGTCCCATTTGACCCTGCTATTCCCCTGCTGGGGATCTTCCCCAAAGAATTAAAAGAATCATGCCACAATGATATATGTGCACCCATGTTCATAGCAGCACAGTTTGTAATAGCTAAAGCTTGGAAACTGCCCAGATGCCCATCAGCTGGAGACTGGATAAAGAAAATGTGTTTTTTAAAAATAAAATGAAGTACTACTCAGCCATAAAAAATGATAAATTAGAGACATTTACAGCTAAATGGATGCACATTGAGGGGTTACTCTTAAGTGAAATAAATAGGACACGCATTTGTAGATACTGAATAGTTTCTCCACTGTGAGAAACTGAAAGTGTAAATAAGGACTAGAAGGTATAATAGATAATGTGAAACAGGAAGAAAAGGGGCAAAGGGAAGTGGGAGGGTTAGGGGACAGGAAAGAAGGGAATGGAATTAATATGAGAAAATGAAAAGCTGGAAACAAAGTCTTTGTAAATAGGGAGGGATGGAGGGGTGAAGGGAGGGCAGGGGAAGGGGGAAAAGTAAGAAGCAGGAGAGATTACGTAAAGGTGCAAATTTCCAATGATGAATGACATTATATTGTATACTTAAATTCTACCAATAAAGTTAATTAAAAAGTAGATTACGGTTACATCACTAATTTAGTAGGAATTTCAAATAGCAAAGATAATGAGTCCTCATCAGCACTGCATGGGAGGCACAGTAAGCTCTGCATGTGGGAGCCTGTAGCCTTCCCAGCACCACGCCCTCTCTTCTGCCAAGTTTAGCAAACAGGGGTCTCACAACTTCCACAAGGCCGCAGAGTTTGGCCTTGCTCAGAGACAGCTCCCATGAGGTCAGTCTTCAACAGGATGGCTCCTGATCTTACCCAGGCTTTGTCCTTTGTTCTCCCACTGTGTATGTCTCAAACTCTCTCATCCGTCCTTCCAGCCTTCCACCAGTCTTATCTCCTGGTATCCATGCCTCCAACTGGACATCTGCTTCCCTACCACTGGCGTGTCGTCACTGTCATGTTTGTCACCTACCGCTACCATCCAGCATCTATCGTTGCCTGTCTGTCATCTATCAGTTTATCACTTACCCACCCATCCCCCATCTGCCCATCTGTCAGTCTTCATCTGTCTGTCTGTCTGTTGTGACCTCTCTGTCTCCTTACTTTCCACACCTTGTTTCCCAGGCTTCTAGCCAAACTTCAAGAGAGCTTTGTCTCTCTTTATCCATAGATAACAGTATTCATCAACAGACGAAATATTTTTTTCAGGAGAAAGTATTTTGTTCTTTACAATGAGAATTTCTCAAATTTATAATGTATCAGTGTGTCAAATATGAACTAATCTTGTCTAGATGTCACAGTGTTGTTCGTCATGACAAAGAGTCATGTATGCTGGGGGTCTAGGGTGTAACTTAGTGGAAGAGTAATTGCCTAGCAAGCACATGACCCTGAGTTAGTTATTCTGCACAGCAGGAAGAAAGAGAGGAAGGAAGGGAGGGAGGGAGGGAGGGAGGAAGGAAGGGAGGTAGGGACGGAGGGAGGGAAGGGAAAGGGAAGGGAAGTGAAGGAAAGGGAAGGAAGGAAGGGGGAGAGAGAGAGAGAAAGGAAGGAAGGAAGGGAAAGGAGGGAGGGAGAGAGAGAGAAAGAAAGAAAAAGAAAGAAAGAAAGAAAGAAAGAAAGAAAGAAAGAAAGAAAGAAAAAGAAAAAGAAAAAGAAAGAAACGTCAAGGCTTTGTAAAACTTAAGTGTTGAAGGGGCAACTTTATACCCTCAGAAAGTCTTTTTTATGTATTAATAGGGACAATTACATGAGATCTGCACATAGAACTTTAAAAGTATTTTTTGTGGGGTGTTCTGGGGATCTCAAATTATAACTCCTTAACTCTAATCACCATTTCTTTTGCTTTTATTAGGTTATTTTCTAGTTAATCCAAACAACCTAATTGAAAAACAAATTGATGTGTAGGCAAAGTTTAATTTCATTTTAGATGTGACAACAAAATAATTTACAAAGAACACAAATTCTCAATTCCTCAAAGTCTTATTAAGTAAAGACTCGCAACATGCATGTGATTGTCCTTGTGGTTAGTTAATGCAGCTTCCTGGCCCCTGGAATCCACTGAAATCAGGACGGACGTTCAACACTACATGGATATTTGCCATGCGCTAACAGTCACAGGTGTCCCAGTGATGCTGAGTAACTGCCTGTGCTTTCCATTCAGGTCATCAAGCTTGCCTTTGAAGAGTTCGAGTTGGAAAGAGGGTATGACACGCTCACTGTGGGGGACGCCGGGAAAGTGGGGGACACCAGATCCGTCCTGTATGTGTAAGTATGTCGTTCCTGTTCTCTGTCAACACAAGATGCTGCCTCGTGCCACTTCCCTCCAGTTTCATCCCATCCTGTGCTTTGGGAAGTAGGGCTGTTTTGCAGAATAATGAGAGGAAAATGTCCCCTTGTCTTCCTCACCAGAGGGTGTCATGCAGTAGCTCTCAAAACCAGGAGCCTAGGATCTGAGCTCACCCGCAGCAAGTGTTTCTGTGGGATTTCCATTCATATTCTGCTTATAGATTGCTGAATATGTTTGTGTCTGTGAAGAGTTTGCCCTGAGAACATTAATGTAGTGCTGTGCTAGAGAGAGCCCCATTGTGCTCACACAGCCCCTTTATTTAAGGATTGCTTACAGGACTACTCACATTTGGAGAGGCACCATGGTTGGCCAGGCTGTCAGTGCTTTTAGAAGTGAAAGGACCACGCCAGGCCACACTGCCAGACGAATACTTCCACTCACTGCACTTTGAGCATCTTTACATGGAAGCGTCGGTTTCTGTCTCATCTGTGTGGTTCATTGTGCCAAGCTGAGTGACTAAAGTTGTGTTACTGGCTCGTGGCTTAGTGGTTCCACTGACCTCGCTGGTATTGTACCTGCTGAGGCCCTGCACATCTTAGGCAGTCTTGGGTTAGAATCCCCCATACTGCCTTCCCTGGTGCTCATGGTTGCCCTGTGCCTCGCAGTTTAGCTGCATGCTCATCCCTGAAGGACATGCTCAGCCTTGGCAGGTTGCCATGTGCTCCAGGTTGCTGCTGCATGCTGGAGAGGTGTCCAACTCGGGGACGCTGCCCTCAGGGTCCTTACCCCTGGGTGCATCATGGTCTTGCCTGAGTCTCAGGACGTCATGGCTTCGCACCTGGACCCACACCCCTCTCTGCTTTTATAACCAGCTGTGCAGTGCAGGATTTTGCATGCACACATTGCTGTAGTTTAATTCATTTCCCTCCCCACCTCAAAGGGAGAAGGAGTATCCTCAGTCACGTGGTTGTGTCTTTCTATGTGTACCTGAAATGTTGCATATATTTACTCTTCTGACACAGGGCCATTGAAGGTCTCTATTTCCCCAATGCTCACCAAATAATGATGATAACATTAATTGTTCTTATTTTGCCAAATTACCAGATGAAACTTGCATCTCTTTACCTTTAAAAATAGAGTGCTAGATGGGGTGGCAGGATTCCTGGCCATCTTCCCCCAGGTGACCAAGGACACACACTGCTGTCCTTGGTCAAGGACAGAATCCACTGTCCAGAGATGGCATTGCTGGCAGCAGCTCTGCTATTTACTGTCCCTGCGACCCTGAGGGAAGTCATTTTACCTCTCTATACCTCTAAAATATGTATAACAAACACTTCCTGCTCATGGTAAGGAGAAAAATGAAATAATGCATGTGAAGACTCTGGAGAGCTAATAAGTGTAACCGATATGTTAACAAACCTTTATTATGACCGTAACATCTAATTTAAGAAAGGATGTCGCAAAAACAAATGAGAGAAATTTTTAAATCAATGCAAAATTTTAAATATAAATGCAGCAAGGTAATGCCCTGTAACTCCCCTCGGGTCGCTATTAAGGGCTTTGCATTGCACTCATTTTTAAATGCTGCATTGTTAGGAAGGCGATGGCGAGCTATATGTTACCGTGACATAAGTGTTATCAGCTCCTCTCTGAAGCTGGAATCGATAAAGGAAAAGCTAGGTGGCCACTGACTCCAAGTGAGGCACACGTGGGGCGGGATCGTGTGACTGCGGCCAGCTGGGCATTTAACCAGCTTCGAGAGGGCTGCAGGAGCCACCGTCCTCTGTCCTTGGTGTCCTGAATCAGGGCAAGGGGGAGAGGTGGAGGCGCCACCAGCTTCCGGAGCAAGTAGGTGATTGAGGCAGCCTGCCAGCGCACGCTGAGAGGACGTCCATGCCCGTCGTCCTTCTCAGCTCCGAGCTTCTCATCTAACGGGAGGGGCCCTGCACAGGTAAACAGCAGGCCAGGCGGCACAGTCTCGGAACCTCCTGGCACATTCCCAACGTGCAGGCAGGAAACGTTTTCGTGCAGACGGGAGCTTGCTGCCTTTCACCCAGCAGCTCTGCCATTCTGTGTGGAGGGGCTGGTGGGGTTCTGGTCTGACCTTGACTTTGTAAAGAGAAATCTGTAAAGGGAGACAGAGTGAAGATGAGGTAGTTCATCCTAAAATGTAAAATTCCTGTTTCTTGTGGTAATTGAAATTTCTGCTAGTGGCTTTTACTTCTCTCAGCTTTTGTGGCATGTGTACGTGTGTCACACACACACATATGCACACGATGTGTGAACACCCAGGGGCTCCTTCAGGACCCCAGCCCTCCCAAGAGAAGGTCGCACTTGTTCAGGTTACTTATACAGACTCAAAGGGAGATTAAATAGCGCTGTAGTTTACAGATCTTCATGGAGTGCTTTCCAAGAATGTATCTGACAGTTTCCTGCTGGCTGGTGGGTTGGGAGGCTGCGTTCACCCAGGAGTCCTGGCTGGGGTGGAGTAGGTGACAGGGCTCCGGGCGTGGCCCAGCACTCCACAGGGGACTCTCCTACAGGGAGGCCTGCTCAGTGGTGCCTCTGCTCAGTGCGGGAGCAGAGCAGGACCCTGGCCAGCCCTCCTGTGGCTGTGGGAACCCCCTGTGTGGACCCTGCTTCTCCTGGCCTTTTTGGGGGGTGCTGCTCGTTGTTGTTTGATTCTGGTCTGAGGCCATAGGGCAGGACGCTCTTTAATTAGAAGATTCCTGGAGGAAAGCCCTGTCCTGTCTGCTTTCTTTGCTGTCACCGGAGTCCTCACTGAAGCCAGTGCCCTGGGGGCATTCACATTAGGAAGCAAGACAGGGAGGCAGCCGCCTCACAGCCTCTAGGCAAAGCATGCGTGCTTCCTAGTGAGAAGCTGAGGAGAACTCAGAGCCTGAGCACGGTGGAACCACACGAGCCAAACTTTTCTTTACCCTTCTCCTGAAGACTCAGTCCTGGGTCCCAGGGACAGGGCAGGTCCTATCCAAGGAGACCCAGCTGTTCTTGGCTCAGGTGAACTCATTCTAGTGTTCCCTTCCCTCCCTTTTATCTGAAACCGTCTCTGCTTGATTCTGGGGGGAAAGTTTTATTGAATACCAAATATTATGGCAGAGCTCAGCAGGGAAAAGAAAGATAAGTGGCAAGAGTGGCTTTGCCTTGAGGAGGGACCAGATCACTGATGTAAACTTTAGATAACTGGCGTGAAGCGTATAAATTATTAATAGTAACAATAACTGCACAGCTTTCCATTTGATATCGTATCTTATATTGTGGAGGCATATTACGTTTTACGACACTTATTTTTATTGATTTTAGTCTTCAATGTAAGATGCCTCAAAAATCTTACACGCTTCTAAACATTTATTTGGTTTAGTTTTAAGGAAAAAGTCACCTCTTCTAAGTGTATTTTGGCTGTATTTGTGGGATTTTTCTAACTCTTCTGTGCCTACAGAGTAATCTGTTCATAAATATATATCCCTAATAGGGGAGAAACAAGCGCTAAGATAAAATAGTTAATATCAAAATGAGTGATCTTTTATAAAAGCTCAACTATTAGATAATAAGAGGTAAGTGAAGCTTGAACAATGGATTGGGCACTTCCATAATTGCACAGAATCCACCGAAACTACTACAGTGAGGTTGTTTTAATGCTTAGTGACATTCATGAGCTGCAGAGCCCTTTCCACACCAGAATGCCCCCTCCCCGGCCTGTTTCCATCAGTCCATGCATGCAGTGCAGATGACTGCTTCCACCGGGGACTCGGCCTGCACACAACACCTTCTCTCTTATTTTACATCCCTCCCTCCCCGCCATCCCCTCTGAGGCTTCCTCCCTTTCCTGTTGGCAAAAGCTCTGTTTTCCCTTGCTTCCTTGGAAATTTGACATGACGCCCCCACGATATATGTAGAAACCACCAAGTGTGAACCCTTCCACGCCAGGTCTCTGTCCCTGGGCAGGTGTGGGGTGGGCGTGACCACGCCTGTTGGGGTGTGTGAAGGGTCAGTGTGAGGACAGCTCTGGGTGGGGCCTCTCTCTACCCCAGCTGAGGACGCCACACGGAGGACCTCTCCGGTGTGCTCTGCCACCTGAGTATCCAGTCTGCAGGGCCTGTGGTGTCGACCTCCCTGTGGTAACTGCATTTGTTAAATGTTTCCCTTGAGGACTCTGTGCATGTTCAAGCTGAGGTTTGCCAATGCTTTCCCTCAGCCTGGCTTTGCCTTTCCTCCTCCCTACACAAGCATCCATGCTGTTGATCGGTGGCTCTGGTGGAGTGAACTCCGGCCTGGACTTTGGGGTGGAGTTGAAGAACACTGCCTCACCTTAGAGCTGGAGACCCCGTGTATCTCTAACAGTTTTATAGCCTTTCCTTTGCCTTGAAGGCTATCATCCATTTCTAGTTAGCTCTGGGTGAGTTCACGACACGGGCTGGGTTCGTTTCCTGCTGTACCACTTACGTGGCCACGCACTCCTCACTCTTGCTGAAAGCATTGCACTTCTGCACCTTTGTCAAAAATCATCTGGTTGAATTTGTGTGGTTTTTTCTGGGTTCTGTGTTAGGAGCCTTCGTTCTGGGTCTGGTTCTCCAATGATACATTGAGTCCACCGACCACTTTATAGGTGATGATATCAGAGAGAAAGAGAGAGAGAGAGAGAAAGAGAGAGAGAGAGCTCTCACTTTGCTCTGATTTGTCAAGAATATTTCAGCTCTTCTAGGGCTGGTGCCATCCTGAGTGAGTTTGGGAATAACCTCATGTACATATAAACACCTCGATGGAATTACAGTAGAAGCTGCATTCCTTGCAACTTAGAGACAAGTGCTGAGCTGTGTTTGCTCCCAGTTCCCAAGTGTCAGGTGTTCCATGACATGTATCCCTTTCTGCTGTCTTGTTCGAATGGCAGGAATACACTGATGATTTTAAATATGGAATCAACCTTGTGTGAACATAACCACTTTCCTTCTGTGGTAGAGTA